AGACCTGGGGTGAGAAGGAAAGGCAGAGGCTTCAGTGGGCCATCCTGCGGCTCAGGTCCCCACATGGTCTCTAGCCACTTTTAGGGTCGAAGCACAGAAAAAGTTCCCAAGGTCCCAGGGCAAACCAGTGGCCAATGAGGATGGGATCAGGGTGGCACTGGCTGTGCTCACTCGGTCCCTGAGGGCTTGACCCCCTCCGCCTGGGCTCCCCGCCCCATCTCACATCCCCAGGAGCGGAGGCCCAGCAGCAGAGCAGCAGGTCCACGTCACAGGGGTTTCCAGGGTATACTGAGCCCAAAGCCCCCACGACCTGTGGCCTGAGGCCCCCTGACCACAGCCTCTGCCCTGTGCTGGGCCTCGGACACCTGGGCGAAGGTCAAGGTCACCTGTGACCCACAGCAAACAGAGGAAGGTAGGAAGAAACAGCAGGAAGCGCGACCCCGTGGTGTCCTGGGGGAGCGGTGGTGGCCGTGGGTAGAGGCTGGCAGGCCTCTGTCAGGGACGGGAGCTCTGGAGAGGTGACGTCTGAGCTGGACACAGGGGAGAACGTGCAGGGTGCTGGGCATGAATGGGGAGGCAGGGATGCCAGCCAACGGAGGCACAGAGGTGTGGGGTGGCAGGTGGCAGTCTAGACAGAGGCTGAGCCTCAGGACACAGTGGGAGGAGGTGAGGTGGGTTCCCCGAGCATCCTGGCATGCTCCAGACAGCAACCGGAAGATGTGAAGGTTCAGATCTGTATGTTCTAGAAAGATCCCTCCAGCTGCTGAGTGGGCAAGACTGGGCGAGGGGCAGCCAGACCCCAGGGGAGGGAGCCTGTCTCCATAACCACCAATGGCTTGCTGTGGAAGGGGCTGCCTCCTTGAGAGGCATGTGGGGCACGGGGTGGGGGGGCAGGAGGGGTTCTGTTCCTCTGATCCTCCAGGCCCCAAAGGACTCTGCCAGCCGATTGGGGGCTTGGCATCCCCACTGGTGCCCTACCCTGGAAACTGGCACCAGGGACATGCCACCTGGCTGCCAGAGGGGATGCCACGCAGCCCCAGGAGGGGTCCCTGTGTGCAGGGGTGGCCTGGACTGGCCACATTAGGGGCCTGTTGCAGGGGCCTCTGCTCCAGCCCTGGAGCCCCAACTGCGGACACCGGGGAGGTGAGGGCCAAGGGGCCAGCCCCCCCAGGACTGGCCGTGCTGTTCCAACTCCTCCCCCTCCTAGGGTGGCATAGCTCAACCTCCCTGGTGGTGGTCTCCATTGCCACCGTCTGTAAGGGTGCGAGTCTGCCTTGGGAGTCTCAGGGGAGCTGCTGTTCCCACTTCCAGTGAGGAAACCAAGGCAAAAGGAGGCAGTCACTTGTCCTGGCTGTGCAGGTTGTTCCAACTCAGGCCCATGGGCTCACCTGGAGCTGCACTGCCCGGGACAGGGGTTGGGTAGGGTAGGGTGAGCAGCCTGGAGGAGCAGCCAGAGGGGTAGGTCCTGGGTCTCAGCAGACTTAGACTCTTTGCTCCCTCAGCCCCTCAGGCAGATGTCCTGCCCTGACTGATCCCGAAGTTCAGGGGCCCCCCATGAACTGAGCAGGGCAGCCCCCTGCTCCCAGGACAGCACCCAGCCGGAGACCTGGGCCAGCACCAGGGAGGCACCCGGAGACCTGGGCCAGCACCAGGGAGGCGGCGTCCAGGCTGCATCCTCCCCATGGGCTGGGTCCGCAAGGGAACAGAGCAGCCCCCTGGCCTCTGTCCCGGGCCTTCGATGCCCCTGGGTCAGGCCCAACTGCAGCTGGGGAACCCAGGGCTCACCCAGCTCCAACACCACCCCAGCTCGGCAGGCAAAGGGAGGGTGGGAGCATCCTGGGATGAGCCCACACCTGCCTTGTACACGTGGGAGCTGCTCCTTTCTCAATGTGAGGCATGGGGCAGCGTGGAAAGAGAGAATGGTCTTGGGGTGCGGAGGGGAACGCAGGCAGGCAAAGTGCACGATTCTGCACCAGTAAGTCTGGAGGTGTGCTCGGGAGGGGCTGGGGTGGGCCCTCGGGGAGGCACAGGTCGGGGAGAGGCCCTGCCCTGTCTGGCATCTGGGCTTCTGTCCTCACTGTCAGTGTGGGCTCAGCAAGGCCGAGGATGTGCCACACCGGGGCTGGCTCACCCTGTGCACGCCGCACTGAAAGAATCAGGTCTCCCTCCAACCTGCGGTGGGTGGGGCGTCAGGCCCCTGCAGTGGCAGGTGGCGGTGGTGGGGATGCAGGGAAGCCCTCTGGGTGGGCGGTGCCCTGTGTCCCCAGAGTGGGCCAAGGGAAAGGGACCCAGAGGCCAGGGAGGGCAGGAGGTGCCTGAGCCCTCTGCACGCCCGGGCTCTGCACACGCAGGGCCCTGGGTCCCATCTGCCTCCAACCCGCCCTGGTCCCCAATCTGCACTCAGCCTGGAGCTGCACCACTGCTCTCCCTCCCTGGGCCCAGGCGTGGCCCCAGGCTCCTCCTGCTGAAATGCAAATTATCATGCCCTGAGCCCTCAGCAGGTGCCACCTCTCACAGCAGCTTCCAGCAAGAGCTCTGGAAGAGATACACGTGGGCTGCATCTTCTTCAGACCACCTGCCCCTCCAGGCCTGGATTAAGGATCCTCCAAATAACGTCATAAGAGCCTTCTCTCCCGAACAGGAAGAGCCTCCCTTTGGTCATATGTCCCTTTTTGCCCTGGCTGCTGGGAAGCTCAGCACCACACTCAGGACAACCACTTGGTCCCTCTGCTTGCTTCCCCACCCAACCATGCCCTCAGGAGTTGGCTTGGCTGTTCCATCTGTCTGTCTTCTTTGAAATGTGTGTGTTCCTGGCAAACCTCCCCAGACCTTGGAGGAAAGTGGTGGGTTTGGCCTTCGTTTGCCTGAAGTCACATGCAGCAGAGCTGCACCCACCAACAAGGCTGATGTCCCAAAGGCCCCAGGCTCAGGAGGCCATGGGGCCTGGGGCCAGACCCAGGAGCATGGGAAGGGGCGAAGGGGAAGGTTCTGCAGGGGGCGCTCAGGAGCCTTGCTGGATGTCAAGGGGCCATCGCTGTGGAGGCTGGAACCTGGCGGGGCTGAGCAGGGCAGAGGCTCCAGGAAGAGGCCGTGCGGGGAAAACCCAGACCAGGGTCATTCTCCAAACTGACAGCAGCTGGGGGATGGGGGAGCTGGACCCTCACACTTCCCCTGCAGCCCTCTGCATCCCCACTCGTCTGGCCTGCTCCAGGGTGCACCCGGCTATCCCTTTAAGGAGCTGAGGGCTGCTGCTGGCACTGCGTGCCATGGGCCAGCACAGAGACGGGCACGTTCCTGATCCTTCTGGAAGCCTGGCTTGCAGAGGAGACAAAATGTTCTTGCTCAGCTCAGTAAACAAGCCTGAAGTGCTTTGAAAGCGTCTGCCGATACAAAGGACTGAAATAAAGGCAAGCATTGCAAAAGGAGGCCCAGCTGCAGGGAGGAGTGTGCGCGGGAGGGCATCCAGGCTGCTTGCCGCCCCAGCTCCCAGGAGGTCACCTCGAGGGTCACTGTGTGTGTGCCTGGGCTCCCAGCCACGGCCTGAGTGTGCAGACATGGGCTGTGTATGCGAGCTGGCTAGGGCGTATATAGGCCTGCGTCCCCAGGTAGGAGCCCACAGCACGTATCATCACCCGTGGGGTGCCTGTGTCTGTGCTAGAGCTGAGGCAGGTGTGTTTGCACACGCACGGAGTGCACACACGTGGGTACACACAGCTCCCCGGCTCACCCCAACACGTCCCGGGAACCCCGCTGGAAGAGAGCCAGGGAGCAGGGAGCCCAGCTCTCCAGGGAGCTAATTAAGGGCCTGTGGAGCAAGGAGACCTGGCGTCTGAAGGCGAGGCGTCTGCGGGAACCGGCGGCCAAGGCGAGTCAGGCTTGTCAGGCAGGCTGGGGACCCCTCCAGGAGCATCTTACGCAGTAATCACAGTGCCGAGGGCAGAGGAGCTCCTATGGGGCTCCCCCAGGCGCGAGGAGAGGCAGGTCCTTGCATGGCACCGACGCCAAAGCCTGGCCTTCCTGGGAAAGACCGGGCTCTGGTGCCAGCTCAGGCATTCCCAGCCCCGTGCACCCAAGGCAAGTGGTTGAGGACTCTGAGGCTCACTTGTCTCATCTGTAAAATGAGCAGAAGCCCATCCGCCTGTGTCACTCCCCCTGTCATCGGCTCTTCCCCACCATCGCTCCCCAGCACCCAGGAGCCACTAGACCTGGTAGTCTGCCCGACTCAGGGCTGGGCACGGGAGGGACAACCATGCTACCCAGGCCAGCTCACCCTGCAGGGGGGGCAGGCACAAACCAGGGCCTGGACAGTGGGAGGTGCCAAGCCAAGCTGTGGGAGAGACACACGTGTGGCCTTGGGACCACAACAGGACACCAGCCTGGCATAGGGGGTGAGGGAGGCAGGAAAAGCTTCTGGGAGAAGATAACGCATGAAGCCTGCAGGAAAGGGGAACAGGGTAAAGGCAGACAGACCAGGAGAACTGGCCAGAGCAGCCCCAGGCACACAGTAGGTGCTCAATTAATGCCTGATGAGTCGGTGACTGAGCCTGTGAAGCAGGAGAAAATGGAAAGCCAGGGGGATGACCCTTTAAGGTCACAGTGTCCCCAATTCGCCTGCCCTCCCCACACCAGCCTGCATACCCAGCAAGGGAGAACCACAGCCTGTAGACACCCCGAGGCCCAGCACGCGGACCCTGGAGCCCACACTCTCTCTGCTGTGCTGGCAAGCTGAGCAGCCTGGGAATGGCCAAGTCCCTGAATTCCTGCCCAAACCCGCGGGGCGGCCTCCAGGGAGGCAGAGAGCGTCCCCCGCTCCTGGCCTGGCCACAGCAGGAGACATCCCAGCCAGGAGGCCCATTTAGGAAATGGGTGGCGGGGAGCTGTGGGGGCGTGGGGGGCAATGCCTGCCAACCAATGCCAGGGCTGCCAGGCCGTCCACCCTCTGGTCTCCCAGGAGGCTGGGGGAGCTCCCCGGCAGGGCCCAGCCCCTGGATACCCGCGAGCCAAAACCACTCAAAAGCCACAGGCCAAATGAATCCACTTTCTGAAGTGCCCAGGGAGTGAGGGAGACACGGCTGTCTGTGTTCCCGCGCCCCGGCCCAGTGAAGCGTGGGCAGCACCACCACGGGAAGGGGCGGGTTATGTCTCCCCAGCTGCCCCTACCGGGTCCCCAGCCCTGGGCTGACTGTGGGCAATGGGATGCGCGTTCAGGACACCCTCCTGTACTTGCAGGGCAGGTCCTGGCCCTGAGGGGTCTTCGGATGCCTGCTGTGCCCTCTCGGATCCCAGGGAAGGGCCCCAAGCGTGTCCCAGGCAGGTAGGAGCAGGTGGGAAGGGGTGACCCAGCTAAGCCGCCAGGACTGTCTCACAGGGGCCCAATCTCTTGGCCGTGGCAGCGTTCCTCCTACAGTCTGGGTCCTCCCTCCTGGGAGTCAGGTGGGGTCTCCTCTCCCTGGGCCCCAGGGTCCATCCACACAGCACCTGCTGCCACAGGGGACCCCAGGCTGGGGGCGGCAGGTGCACGCTGCCTCACTTCTCCATCACCTGGGAACCGGGTGCCAGGACCGCACCGGGGAAGCTATGAACATCCACCTATCATGTCCAGGGCACAGGGTAGGTGGAGAGTCCCCCTGAGTGCAGGGGGGCTGCAGGGTGGGAAAATTTGGGGGAGGGTGCAGGGGGATGATTAAGAGTGAGGAGGGCACACAGGGGCAGAGTGCAGGGGCAGGAGGGTACAGAGTAGGGACGGTGCAGGGGGAGGGTGCAGGGGGATGGTGAGGGAGAGGGCATAGGGGTGGAAACATGGGGAGGGAGGAGGACCCGGGGTGAGGGAGGGAATGGGGTACAGTGGCCCCCGCCCGAGGACTGGACAACCCTGAGCCCCTAGGCCCCTCACTGGCCCCCTTTCCCTGTCCGGGAGGAATGGGGAAGCCTCCCCAGGCCCCATGCCAGGCCCTAGGGCAGCGTGACCCCAGCAGACACGGGTCCTGCCTCCAGAAGCCCCTCGGGTGTCCCTGCAGACACGGGGAGGACGCTCTGAGGGGCCTGGTGTCCCAGCCTCCCCCCCCCCCCCGACTGCAGTGGTCCTTGGGAGAGGTGTGGAAGGGTGTTAGGGCCCAGCAGTCCCCTTGGGACTGGCACCCAGGACGTAGGACGCCTGCACCCCACATGCCTCGCTGTCCCCAGCAAAGCCCTGGCCTTACGGGGAACAGAGTGGCCGCGGCAGGACCTGTGGGGGCTGGGTGGGGGCTCCAAGGCCAGAGGCAGTGAAAACCCACAGGGGATCTTGGGTGCCTGAGCCAACCCTCTGAGCACAGCCCCTGAGCTTCTTTTTTTTTTTTTTTTTAATTTTTATTTATTTATGATAGTCACAGAGAGAGAGAGGCAGAGACACAGGCAGAGGTTGAAGCAGGCTCCATGCACCGGGAGCCCGACGTGGGACTCGATCCCGGGTCTCCAGGATCGCGCCCTGGGCCAAAGGCAGGCGCCAAACCGCTGTGCCACCCAGGGATCCCCAGCCCCTGAGCTTCTGTGGTGAAAGAGGGAAATGAGCTGAGCGGGGAAGGGAGGAGGGAAGGGCACAGAGTGGCCCTCTGTGACCCGGGGGCGTCTGAGACGGGGCAGAGGTGCTCTCCCCACCCTCACCTCCGCCCGCCCCCCCTCCCGCCACCTCTGTGCCCCGGAGCCCTTTCCCCGGGGAGGGGGACAGGGACAATGCTGACATGCTGACCTGTCTCTGCCTCTCTCTCTCTCTCTGTCTCTCATGAATAAATAAATAAAATCTTTTTTTTTTTTTTTAAAGTGATGCTTCAGCCTTTCAGGGCCCTCCCCCTTGAGCCCACAATGGGATGGTGATGTGACCAGCCTCAGCTCGGGTGGTGGCAGGGCTGGGTCAGTATCCCAGGGGTCTGGCCTGTACCAGCCCCAGCTGAGAACAGGAGACTGAGAGAGCCTCCTGACCCCCAGAAGTACCCCCGGTCGTGGGACTCCAGGAACCAGAGCAGGGGAGCGATCTGTGGGGAGTGGGTCCCCGGCCCTAGTCACCAGGCAGGCGTGGAGGCCACAGGCCTGCGCATTCCAGGCTAATTGGCGTCTGGCAGAGCACGCTCCTCCACAGCAGGCCTGGCTCTCCAACCCCTCCACACTCTGACACCACCCCCGGAACACCCCCCAAATCCAAGCTGACCTGGCCCTGTCCCTCCTGGGCCACCCCAGAAGCTGCTGACCCTGGCCCTCTCGGAGCCCAGAGGCACCACGGTGGCGGGGGTGCAGGCCTGGAAGGAATGTCTCCCTGACCTGGGGGCCCCAGCATCGTGGGGAAGCCAGCCCGGGGCAGGCACGGACGCCAGAGGCCCGGGAGATTAGAGCCGCCGCCTAAACAGTGATAGGGAACCGCGTCCGCGCTCATCCAGACGCCGGGATGAGGAAACCGAGCTCCGGGCAGAGCGTGGCCCCGCGGGGATTGCCTAACGGGTCTGTCGCAAGGGGTTTGGATTCCAGGGCCGGGCCTCTAGCCTCCCTGCCTCCCGACCGCCCTGAGCACCTAAGGTTTGGGGACGGCAGCTGCCAAGCAGAGCAGAAAGGTCAGATGTCCCTGGGCCCCCACACCCTGTTGTCTGTGGGCTAGACGTGATGGGGCAGGGACAGGGCCTCAGGGCAATGGGGCCTGGGGCTGACCCTTCCCTCCCGGCATGGCCCTGCAATACCCTCCTGTCACGCCCAGGCTGTCAGACCACCATGGGCCTGCCTCTATTTCCCCTCCACGTGCAAGCGGGTGCGATGCCATTTCCTCTTCCCCCCCACCCTGAAGCCAACGGCACCACCCCCTTCCACAGGTGGGGATGCCAAGGCCCAAGGAGGTGAAGGGATGCAGCCGGGACCGCACCCAGAGCCATGGATTTCACTCCTTGTTTGTGGGTGGACAGCAAACCAGGCACCCACAGACAGACCCCATGCAGCCTGTGGGTCAGAGAGACCCCTGTGGCCTGGGCCCTTGGTCCCCATTTTGAAGTGAGGGTCCTGGGAGGATTGGGCACAACTGTCTGTGGAGCAGTGGCTGCCTTCTCAGTCTTTAGGGCCAGGCACCCCCCATTCTGCATTCATTCCCCTGGTGAGATACCCACCATCCAGGGGCTCAACTGCCCACCCCAGGGACACACCTGGCCTGGCACCCAGGAGTCAGGTGCACAGCTCAGCAGTCAGGTGCCCCTGACACCCCTTCAGAGGCTCGGTGTCATCTGCAAAACAGGAGCAGTGGCATGCCCACCTCAAGAGCCAGCTAGGAAGACATGCGTGTGACATGTGCTCAGCACATGGCGAGCCAGCCCCATCCTCCTTATTGGGGGGCTCTGCTTCCTAGGACAAACAGCCCCACCTTTCCCACGCACTAGCCCTCCGCAAGCCACGTCCCTGCAGGGAGCTTGCAAGGCGCGGTGCTCACACTGAGGCGCTGCGGTGGGGCTCCCTATGGGCTGTTGCCTGGGCACCCCTGTGACATGCTGGTCCCTGCCCCCCCCCCCCCCCCCCCGCTCAATCCCCCTCGCCTTTGCAGAACTTCAGGCCAGAAGCAGGACGTTCGGGAAGTTTCAAGGGGCCCGCCATGGCTGAGAGCCCTGCAGTCCAGCTCTGGCTGTGCTCAGGGCGTGTCCGGGCGTGTCCCACGACCCGTCCATGCCAGGACCCATGTAATCCGCCCAAAGCAACATGGCTAGTTAAAAGTTTTATTGATTGAACACAATTGACTGTAAGTAGTAAAAGTTCTCCCGATGTAACCCACTTTTTCTTAATGGGTAATCTCAGACACTCGAGTTTGTATGTTAAAGGAGCTTTAGGACAATTTAATAGCTCATAAAATTTTATAGTCCCAGTTGAAATCAGAGTGATAACTCTGGCCTGCGCAGCTATAGTTCGCTAAACGTCCCTCATCTATTTTTTCCCCCTCTGTTTATTGGAAAGTTAACATCTGCTCTGCTATGGGGGTGAGCGGGGGTGAAGAAAGAAAAACAATGATCTATTTTTCCAAAAAGAGAGGTAAAACATTCCGGCTCTCCTGGCAACATCCTATTTTCCAAACACATGGTTTTCTTTTAAGTCAGAAGGAGGTCTGATAAACCAGCTGACCCACAGTTGGCACCATATCCCAGCAAGCATGGGTTCCCCTGGAGGTACAGCCTATCTGGGGCTACCCAGGCCACACCCATGGCCTGGGGTCGGCCACAACCTTGTGGGGCCCGTCCATAGTCACAACCTGGTTGTTTATAAAGTGCCCACTGTGTGCACAACCTGGGAGGGAGGGGGTGGGCATCCACACACGACGAGGATACAAGCTTCGCCTTACCTCCAGAAGCTGAAGCTGTGGCTGAGGCCCGCACCCAGGCAGACGGGTCAGCCCCCCCGAAGGCTTCACGGAGGAGGTGCACACGGCACGGGGCCCCATGTGCCCGTAATACACGGGAGCTCTGTCCAGGTGCCAGAATCCTGGCTGTGCCCTCGGCAGTGTGTCGCCCGACCTCGGGGAGCCTCGGTGTCCCCTGCCTTTCAGATGGGATCACTCAGTGTCTACGCCTCCGGCCAGTGAGGACAACAAGGAATGAAGCATGTGGAGCGCCAGCCAGAGCCGGCGCTTCAGGCATGTTATCAAGAAGAAGGAGATTCAGGAAAACAGTTTGCGGTTCTTTGAAAAGTTAAAACCTAGAATTACTACCCTGCCCAGCAACTCCACTTCTCCATCACGCACAAGACGGCTGCACACGGGGGCCTCCGGCAAGTCCACGCACATGCGTGGTCATGACTGCCAAGAGGTTGTGCCCGTCCGCTGGGCGGCAGTCTGCCACGGGGTGGGGTGGGGGGATCCACCCGCAGAGCCACAGAGAGAAGTGAGGTCCCGATGCACACCGCAGTGTGGGGAGCCTCAGGAACATCCGTGCCCTGGGAGAGCCGGTGTCAGGTTCCTCCTGTAGAGGCAGGAAGCACCTTGGTGGTTGCGGGGCTGGATGAGCGAGAGAGGGGGCTCCTCCGGGCCAGTGAGCATGATTTGGGACTGAAACACAGAGGTGGTGGGTGCACAGCCCCATGAACGTGCTAAATGTCACTGAACTGCACACTTTAAGATGGTTCCTGTTACCGTATGTGAATTTCATTTCAGTGAAACAAATTTTTCTTGAAGGAAGGAAATTTGGACCGACAATGGGGCGCTCTCCGGGGACAGACCCCAGACCCCGCGCCTCCTTTACCCTTCTGGTCTGTGCAGGGGTCCGACCCTGGAAGCTCGGAGCAGGGTGGCAGGTCAGCAGGGCCGAGATGGGGCAGGCGGGAGCGGGGGCACGGGCTTGCTGCCCTGCCAAGTGCAATCACGAGGCTGTGTCCTAGGGGCCGCGGGAAGGGCTGCGTTACACCCGAGCTCACTTACGGGAGGGTCAGCACGGGGGACAAGCTCTCAGGCACACGGAGCGGGGGGTGCCCGCCCCAGGAGGTGAAAGGACATGCTCCGTGAGAGAACCACAGGGGTCAGTGCAGAGCCCCCACCTGCCCCAGGCATCCCGGGGGGCCTGCGTCTCCCTCCAGTGCCCCCAGCCACTCCTCTCTCCTGCCTTCTCTGGATGCCTCCTAGAGGTCCCATTCCTGATTCCTGCCCAGGCGAGGAAGCAGGGCAGGGGAAGTGCTGTGCCCTTCTCGAAGGCAGCCAGGCCCTCACTGTACCCACGGAGCAATCAAGCGATCAAGCTGAACAGGAGGAGGCCCCGGCCACACGTGGCCAGCCGTGAGCCAGGTCCTGGCCTCTCCCACTGACCCACCGCTCCCTGGACAGCCCTCCTGGGCTTTTGCCCACCAGGGAAAAGGATAAAATGAGGCCACCGGGACCTTTGTCTCCTGCCACATGAAAGCACTCATGCACGGTAGGGCAACACGGTCAGATGCCAAAGAACAAGCAGGTGTTCAGCGGGTTAGTTATGGTGGGACCAGCCCCACCACCTGGTGGGACTTTGGGGCCTGGGGAGGCCGCACTGCCACACACGCCCCAGGTCCTCCAAGCCACCCTGGATTTGCAACCTCACTTGACTGGCAAGAAACATGCCTTCTAGAGAATTCGTAAATGCCCTTGGGGGCGTGGTGACCCTCTGAGATGCAGGCGGGTATCAAAGGATCATGCACGGGGTCGCCCCGCTGCTCGTAACCATCCCGTGTGAACAGCAGAGTCATTTTCCGAGCACACGGCTCTTCTCGGGGTAGACTTGACGTTTTGTCCAAGGGGCAGTTCTGGTCCCTCTGGGGCCACCTACACCTCTGGGGGAGGGTCTGCAGCTCAAGCAGAGGACAAGGTCCATGTCACTAGCTCTGCCCCCCGGCCCCTCAGCCTCCACCACCTCGTCTGTCCCAAGCAGGCACCTGTCCACTGTCTGTTCCCCTAAATCCTCCTCCTCCTCGAAGCTGTCCCGACCGCACACCTATAGACGTACCCCCCAACCCGGGCCACTGAGGTGGCCCCTTGTGGCCCACTCCATGATCTCATCTGTGTTTCTTTCCTGCCTCGGCCTCCGTGGGACCTGCCGCGATCCCCACTGGACTCCCTAGCACGGAGCCCTAGAGGCATGTAAATATTTGTTGAGTGATGCCTGAGTGTTGAAACGGAGAACACGCTGTGATCAGGACACCGGAGCTTGAATCCCAGCCCTGTTGCTGCCTTGCATGGTGGCCGTGGGCAGTGACTTGGTCTTTCCCATGCATAGCACAGAGAGAAGGAAGACCGAGGCCAGCCGCTCCC